TTAGAAGAAGATATCTAATAGTAGTAGTAGTCTAAAGGTAGAAGAAGGAAAGAAGACAGCCTTAGGGTAGGTCTTGCTCAGGCCAGGCAAGCTTCTACCTTTGTGTTACATCTCAAACTTCTGCAAATACTATTCTTAATTTGTGTGCATCTAGTAACATAGTTTTAAAAGATATAAAAATAAAACTTCATGAAATTAAAAGGAAAACTGATAATTCTATAGTGGTAGTACAGGCTTTTCAACACACTTGCTTTCAAAATTGTTAGATCAAATAGTCAAAAGCCTAATACAAATAGAGAAGACCTGAGCAACACAATGCATTATTTTGAGCTAATATATACAGAAATCAACTCAACAATTAAAACAAGCAAATGAGCTATAGAAATTTACCCAAGACTAGGCATGTCTTAACAAATAACAAAGACTTGGTACAGACTTGTTTTCTGACCATGGTGAGTTAAGAAACACTTATCTTAGGAAAGATCAAAGCATGCAACTCAGAAAATTTAGAAAAAAATACATAAGAGTAAAAAAAGAATACAAAAAAAGAAATATATAAGGAAAAGGAAATTAATAAATAAAAAACAACACTAAAATATCAACAAAATCAAAAGCTTATTCTTTGAAAAGACAAAAACCCATGGGAAGACTGATAAGGGGGGATTAGGGATGGAGAGGATTGAATCACGCCTAGGGATGTCACTATATGGTACAGTGTTTGCCTAATATGCAGAATGCCTTGAGTTCTGTCTCTAGCACCACAGAAGGAGACACCATACAAATAATCAAAACAAAGTTGAAGCTTTAAAAATAGAATATTGTGAATAACTTAAAGAATCTGAAGTTTTACATAATATAATTTCCTAGAAAAATTAAATTTACCAAAATTAGCTCAAGAAGAAACAAAATTGATCACTCGCTGACTGCAGAGACATCAAGATGAAGACAGGGGTTTTGAGGATGTGCTTTCAATCTCCAACATATGGCTTAGGAATGTCAATTATATCTTCACAGAAAGGAAAAGCTACAAATAGAGGAACAGGTTGGATGCTGCTATAGCTGGAGTTTTGGATGTGTGGAAGGGTATGTAGGAGTTAGGTGGTGACAGGGGTGGTATACAGCAGCCATATAAATGTAATATATCCAAAATTACGTTGTTTTAGATATGTTGATGTATGTAAGTACAGGTGTTAAGGATATAGTTGGATGTGTGGAGTAGGGTCACAGGAGAGATCTGGGTTGGAGATACATAATTGAGAGTTACCTTTATTCAAATGATGATGCCACAGGTGTGGCTAAAGTAATCTAGAGAGAGAGAGAGAACTGGTTTTCAAAATGCTGTATCTGGGCCAGCAACTTCAGCCTTACCTAGGAGCCTGACAAAAACACAAATTCTCAGACTCAATCCTGTACCTACTGGATCAGAAATCATGAGAATGTGGATCTTCAATCTATATTAGCAAGCTCTCCAGTGATTCTGATAGAGGCTACAATTTCAAGAACCAGTAATACAATGAGAAGTCAGGAGGGCTTGGAGCCTTTCCTTAAAAGTCTGAACATTAAGCTGCCAGTGATTAATACCTATAATCTTAGCTACTCGGGAGGCTGAGATCTAATGACCATGGTTCGAAGCTAGCCCAGGCACAAAAGTTCCCTTACGACTCTTATCCCCAATTAACCAATCAAAAACTGAAAGTGGTGCTGTGGTTCAAGTGGTAGAGCACTAGCCTTGAGTACAAAGGGGCTCAGAGACAGCACCCAGGCCCTGAGATCAAGCTCCATGACCACCAAAAAAAGAAGTCTGAACATTAAACTGGGTTCTAAGAACTCATGCCTATAATACTAGCTGCTCAGGAGACTGAGAACTGAGGACTGCAGTTTGAAGCCAGTCTGGGCAGGAAAGTTCTCCAGTCTCTTATCTCCAATTAACCATCAAAAACCAGGAAGTAGAGTTGTGGCTCAAGTAGTAGAGTACTAGCCCTGAGGTAAATGCTCAAGGACAGCACCCAGGCCCTAAATTCAAGCTCCAGGACCAGTACACACAAAAAAAGTTTGAACATTTAATCCAAGTGGGTGGGCCTGCAAGAATGCTAAGAAGAACAGAAATAAAAGCTAAGAAAATGAGAGTTGTTCATGAGAAGTGATTTGAGAAGTCAAGTTCTGGTCCCTTCTGGGATGAGAAGTAGCTGAGAAAATAGAGGCAGTAGCTATAGAGCAGTTAGATTACAAACAGGTGATAACATAGGTGGAGAAGGAATTGGGTGATAAGCAAACCAAAGGTTTGAAATAGGCCAGTAATGAGCAGGATGAACTGCTGAGAGAATAAGTTGGCTGAGACCAGGAGATGGCTGATGGGGCTGTGCAGCAGTCTGCCTCAGCAGGAGCATTATGTCACTAAAAATGTTTAGAATTGTTGCACGAAGTAATGATTTTAAAAAAGACACAGAAGTCTGATGGCAGGAAGGTGAAGAAACTATCAAATGGCTTCTGCTTCTTCTATGGGAGCACTAGCAAGGCCATTCCTGCAAAGATAGATACGTTGTTGCATATTCTTGGCCTACTAGTAGCAAGTTAAGTGTCTGGTTTGTCAAATCTCTATTACTCAGCAATTCCCTATTTATGTATGATGTGGCTCTCTATATAGCTATGTTTGCTCATGGGGCAAGAATGTGCTAACAATACAAATTTCTCATAGGAAATTCATCAACTGTTTTTTAAACATGATTTGGTTCATCTGCAGTCTATGTATGGATAAAAGACAGATCATGGTTCCTTTCACTGTAACATTTCTTATTGCGTTTCTTACTTGGGATCTGACTGCTTTTATACAAAGTGACTAAAAAAAATCTCTGGGACTTTGGGGGCATGGGCCAGGTCCATAATTAAGCAGCAAATCAGAAAAAATAACCCCCAGTCTTTCCATCCCAATTATTCCCTGCTAAGTAAAGGCTGACTTTCCATTAGTTGTCATGGGCCCGATTTCCACCTCCCTCTCTTAGACTTCTACATCCATCTATCTGTTCATCAAAGTATTTTAAACTAGCTGTTACTACACTACCTACTAGTTTTCTATAGGAAAGTAGAGTTGGTCCTCTGTATCGAAGGGTTTCCATCCAAAGATTCAATCAACCTCTGATGGAAAGTATTTTTGAGGAGAAAGAATTGTTTAAGGGAGGGGGGAGGCTGGGAAGGGATGTGAAGGGTAAACCAAAGGAAGAGGCTGCAATGCTTGGTAATAAATGTACGCATTATCCTGCCCATGTAACTGTAACCCTTCTGTACAGTATGTTCACAAATAAAAAATAAATAAATTAATTAAAAAAAAGAATTGTTTAAACACATACAGACTTTTTTTTTCTTGTCACTATTCCCTAAACAATAAACTATAACAACTATTTATATGGCAGCAATTATTTCTATGTGATTTCATTTATTTTAGCAGCAGATCTACAAAATCTACAGAATTTACTATCTGCAGCATATCCTTCTGCAGCCCTCTGTTTTAGAGAACGAGGGATGGCTGTATTCCTAAGATTAATACACTAAATAAAACAAGCATTTCAATGAAATGTGTGCATTTATTGTGTTTATTTATTCATTTCATGATTCTTTCAACAAATATTTACAGGCTATCTGCTCTGTATAAGGCTTAAAACGAGAACCATGGGAGACACAAAGTTCACATGGTGCTTATAACAAAAGCAATTAGCTCTTTAAAGAACAATTACGGAAACATGTTTTACAGAGGGAAATTAGAAATAAAGAAGATAATGTTTTAACTGTGTGCAGGGATGAGAGGGGAAAATTGAGGAAAAGCAAAGGAAGAGGTGATATTATCCAAGAAGAACTGTACTTATTACCTGACTTATGGAACTGTAACCCCTCTGTACAACTCCTTAGTAATAATAAAATTCTTTTAAAAATGGTTTTTTTGTTTGTTTGTATGTTTGTTTGTTTGTTTTTGGGGTCTGGTTGTGGGCCTGAACTCTGGGCCTGGGCGCTGTTCCTCAGCTCTTCAGCTCAAGGCTAGCGCTCTACCACTTGAGCCATTGTGCCACTTCTGGCTTTTTTTTCCTGCTTATGTGGTACTGAGGAATCAAACCCAGGGCCTCATGCATGCAAGGCAAGAGCTCTACCACTAAGCCACCTTCCCAGCCCAAAAACAATGTTTTATAGTAAAAAGTAATTAAGGTAGAAATTCAAGGAAAATCCCGGAACTTTAGTAACTTTAAAAATATGATAACTTCTGAGATAGCCTTGCTTAAGAGGAAAAGGCATAACAACTCCTTTGGAAGTAAGCACAAAAGTGATTATGAGCTTTTGGATATTTAAAATCCAGGATGATATACATGTATGAAATGTCATAGTGAACCCCTCCCAATATAATTAATGTATGTTAATAAAAAAATAAAAATAAGAAAGTGGCTCTGTGACTCAAGTGGTAGAGCCTTGAGCTGAAGAGCTCAGGGACAGTGTTCAGGTCCAGAGTTCAAGCCCCCACGACTGACATAAATAAATACAAAAAAAACAAAACCTTGGCAGCTCCTTCACACAACCAGTAACTCTGGCTGTAACTATGAAGTTTATTTAGAACTCTGCCAATCCTCCTATCCTCTAAGCCTTAGGTGCCTTTTAACACTGTATCTGCTCTTCATTCCTATCTTCTTCCTACTTTCTTCTCTCTCTCCATCTGCACTTGTGCTCCAGTATAAATAAGGACCAGTTTTTCCATGGCCTAGAATGTCACTAAATCATCACAGTGTTTCACACACCACCACCCAAGCTCTCATAAGAGAATCAATGACCTTGGGATTTTAAAAGTGCCTAGCACATAACAAATGCTCAATTATGATGCATTTCTTCCTTTCTTCCCTTCAGTTTTTCTCTCCCCTCATGGGGAAATGGGAGAAAAAACAGGAACAGACAAAGATTTCTTGTAAGACAGCACCTCTCTGATGTAAAAATATTGAAAAAAGTTGAAACAACGTCTCATCACCTACCTTGAGTCTGTGGGCTGTAAGGAGACAGGAGTTTGGACCTTTTCTTTTCATATCCTTTCTGTGTGATGTCCCCTAAAATAGCAAGAAACAGAAATAGGTTATGCATTATTCTTATTTTGTGGTTGCTCACTGCAAAGATAAAATTAATTACAGAGTGTGATAGAACTACCACATATACAGTCAGGGGCAGGAGGAAATGTATGGTTCTGTGCCAAGAGTTCTGCTAAGTGTGACTTCCCACAGGCTGAGTTGACTACTTGTGGGAAAATTGCAGGGTTTGTCCCTGACTCTGATCCTTCAATACAAGGTGCCTCATACCATGACAGAGATTCCCTGCATCTTAGGCACTCCCATTTTCCTTGGTATTTAAGATACCCTCAAACAGAACTTTATATATATATATATATACCTGGTACACAATTATTTTCTCCAAAAATTTCAGTCTAACCTAATGAGTGCAACTGGCTTGTGAAACATTCTTTTATTTGCTCTAGAGAATGACATAAAATCGGTAGTCTATCTAAGACAGGTAATGGAGCCTCAGGCACATGGATGAACTTCTTTCCTCTAGTCACTGGTTTGCATTATCTAGGCACATTGTCCTTTTTACAAGGTTGCATAAAAAGTACATCTATGAAGCACATACAAAGTAGATACAACAATTGCAACAAAGATAAACTGATAAATGGGGAGGAAAAATCTGTGGGTATTATAAAGAAATGGGAGTTTATGGACAGGCCGAAAGCAAGGCTGAATGGAAGAAGTGCACAGCAAAAAAGATACTCAAGAGAGGATGACTGAGTCAAAGCTGGAGGAAGACATAGATGTAGTGAAATATGTGTGCCATCACGAGCATTATTTTCCAAAAAAAAATTTTTTAGTAAGTTCTATTTAAAAACAGCACTTTACACAGAATCCAATGCATAAAAACAGGGGAAAAAAGTCCAAATTTAGCATAAAGCAGTAAAGCATTCACATTTTTACTCATTTTTATATACAGCCAACAAATAGGGGCAAATCTGATGACAGAAACTTAAAATCAGGAGTGATGCTAGCATGTGATGCTAGGTGATAGGCAGAGTAAGTAGGGGCTCAATAAAGGGTTGCAGTAGGAGTATTACTTGCAGACCTGTGCTGCAGCAAGGCCCTGATAAATAGGACAATGAACAGTAGGACAAGGCTAAAACCCAGAAAAGACTAGCTATTATCCCAGCAGTACTACAAAGGTTTGGATCTAACTGTAGCTTGGATACACAATGACAGAGGCAGGAAAAGAAGCATAAGGAAGAGCAGTAAAGAGGAAGGCTGGGTATGATTTGCTGACTGGTTGAATGTATGAGAGAGAATGTGGCTTTGGGCTTATGCTACCAGGCTGAAAGTTGTGCCATTCTCTGACAAAGAATTACAGCAAGAAGACGGGTGCTGGTGGCTCACCCCTGTAGTCCTAGCTACTCAGGAGGCTGATATCTGAGGATCACGGTTCAAAGCCAGCCCAGGCAGGAAAGTCCTTAAGACGCTTATCTCCAATTAACAACCAGAAAACCAGAAGTGGCACTGTGGCTCAAGTGGTAGAGCACTAGCCTTGAGCTAATGAGCTGAGGGACAGCACCCAGGCCCAGAGTTCAGGCCCCATGACTGACCAAAAAACCCAAGAATTACAGCAAGAAGTATGTGTCTGGTGAGGCAAAAACAAGTTGAGCTTAGGATAGGCCATGTCCTGAGTATGGTTAGAGATTAGCTCCTCAAAAGTTAGTTATAGTAACTCATGCCTGTAATCTCAGCTACTCAAAAACGCTGAGATCTGAGGATCATGGTTGAGGCCAGCCCTGGCAGGGAAGTCCATGAGACTCTTATCTACAACTAACCACCAGAAAAACAACGACAACAACAACAAAAAATAAAATCAAAAGTAACACTGTGGCTCAAAGTGGTACAGTAGTAGAGTACTAGCCTTGAGCAGAAGAGTTCAGAGACAGCTCCTATGCCTTGTGATCAAGCCCCACAAGTGACAAAGAAAAAAAGTTGTATTAATTACACAAATCTGGAACACAGGGAAAAGAGCTTTGGAATCCTCAGGACATAGTAAATATATATATATATATATATATATATATATATATATATATATTGATTCAGTAATTGTACCTCTATGAATTAATTCAATGATTATATCTATACAGGTATACAATAATATAAGAATATCCCTTGTTTTATTCTTTATTTGAAAAAGTAGAAGCAAACGTTTCTAGGGAATACTTTTTTTTTTTTTTTTTGCTGGTCGTGGGGCCTGAACTCTGGGCCTGGGTGCTGTCCCTCAGCTCTTCAGCTCAAGGCTAGCGCTCTACCACTTGAGCCATAGCGCCACTTCTGGCTTTTTCTGCTTATGTGGTGCTGAGGAATCGAACCCAGGGCACTCTACCACCAAGCCACCTTCCCAGACCCTCCAGGGAATACTTTACAATAAACAGTACAGTTCTGCAATGAAGACTCGACAGTTCTACAATAAAGATTTAATTTATCTACCCCCAAATTCTAACACTACTAAGGATGTTAGTAATATGCACATATTCCAAATCTAACAGCATAGAAAAATATTTAAAATATATTGCATGTAAAAGGCAAGCAGCAGGTATGGACAGTCTAGTCTTATAAAAATACAGTTAACGGATATTTATATATGCGTGCTGTATACATATACACATACTAGAAAGGCTATATATACTAAGTTGTTTATACTTAAGATATGGGAGTAGAGGGGAGTTTTATGTTATTTTATTAAACAAGTCAATTTTAATGAAAAATAACTTTTTTGCCTTTTACATTCAATATTTTTTAATTAATTTCATTTATTTTGTGTTTATGTGGTAACCAAGGAATCGAGCCCAGGGCTTCATGCATGTTAAGCAAGCACTCTACCACTATGCCATATTCCTAGTTCCCTCAAGTTATTTTATTTTAGACATCTTCCTATGCATAGTTGCTAACACAATAAGATGGTCAAAATATTTAACAGAAAAAAAGCAAGATATAGTTTACAATTTTTAGGATAGTAATGTTTTAAAACATGCATATGAGAAGTGATATTTATTTATTTATTTATTTTTGTCGGTTGTGGGCCCTGAACTCTGGGCCTGGGCGCTGTCCCTCAGCTCTTCAGCTCAAGGCTAGCACTCTACCACTTGAGTCACAGTGCCACTTCCAGCTTTTTCTGCTTATGTGGTGCTGAGGAATCAAACCCAAGGCCCCATGCATGCAAAGCAGGCACTCTACCACTGAGCCACCTTCCCAGCCCCAAAAAGTGAATGTTTTTAGTAAATGGCTTTATTTTGTATGTATTTATCTTTACAGGGCTAGAGATTGAACCCAGGAACACCTGCATGATAGATAAGTACTCTAATGTTTAAGTAACACTGCAGGCCTATACCAAAATATGAGCAAGATGGCTTATAAGATGTTTAGTTGGTTTTGGCTTTTTCTCTTTTTATTTTCTGTATTTCCTGATTTTTCTACATCCATTATTTGAAGAAACAAATGCTTTAAAATTTCAAACAATCAACTACTTACTAAATGTACAAATTCAATAAATCCCAATGGTTCATCTGTTACTCTAGTGACACATTCAAATAATAAAAACCAAGGCTTTTCAAATTCAAAAAATTGAGATAATCTCAAACAATACATACAACTAACAGTGGAGCAGGAACCTGCTACCAAGGATACATGCACTGCAAACAGGAACCTATGTTTTTTTATTATTAAAAATAATAACAACAGGGGTTGGAGTTATGGCTCAGTTGACAGAATGCCAGCTAATGAGCAAAAGCATCAGGTACTAAGTTTGAATCCCAGTCTCAGACCAAAAACAATTAGTAACAGACTAACTCTGTTCCGCTCCCCTTTCCCTCTTTCTCTCAGTCCCTCTAGGGGACACAAAGACCACTTCTGTGAACTCAGAAAACATCTGATAAAGTGAAAGGCCTTTAAAAAGCTCTCTTCAGTGCTTATAGTCTCAATCATTCATGTCAGGGAACCCACTGTCAGATCTGGGACATTCATCAACCACTAATGTCTTGGGTTTTGAAAGGGGTCAATTGAGAGAATCTAATTCAGCCATGTCAATTAGCTCTGCTAGATTCATAAATGAGGAAAGAAATTAAAGAGACCTGGAAAAGCAGTAGTAATGAGAATGTGAGGCCTCTGAGGCCGGGTCATATGGAAACCTAAAAATTCTTCCTGACTACAAAATCCTGCTAAATGTCACCTCCAGTCAGGCTGGTGTCTCACATGTATAATCCTAGCTACTCAGAAGACCAGGGGATGGCAAGGGTGGGGAGGAGGAGGAGAGAAGGTTGGGAGCGATTGAGGTTTGAAGCCATCCCACGCAAAATGCTGGACTAGAGGTGTGGCTACAGTGGTAGAAAGAGACAGCCAACTAACCACGTGCAAGGCCCGGAGTTCAAATCCCACACTGGCAAAAACAAGTTATCTCAATGCTAGTCTTCCATCATCTGTCAGCCCTTCCACCTAGGGTTTCTGCAATCCTGGGCACACTGCTGTGGCAGCACTTAGCATAACTGGTATTTTAATTGTCTGTGTGCACCTCTATCTCCCTACTAGACTGGGCACTTGCGGGCAAGAATTGCGTCTTGCTTCTCCCTGTAGCCTGCCCACAACCTGGCACAATAGACACTTGCTGAATGAGTGACTCAATGAATTAGTTAAATAGAGACAGTGAGAGAACAATAAATCAAAGAGGCATGGGTACTTGGGTGGAAACTGGAATAGAGAAAATGAGGTCTTTAGCAGAAGCACAGAGGGAAATCTAGAGCAAGAAGTTTACTAAAATTTAAGAGTAGCCCTTAAAGCAGACCAGCAACATCTGAACTGCCTGGAGAAAGGAAGTAACACTAATAAATCACAGAGGAACTTCCTGACAGATAAAGATATCCCTTAGCTAGACCAGACTGAAAGAATTCAGTGAGGATTTGTAATCCCAACTTCTGTAACTCCCCATCTATGTTTTGCACTCTGAACCATTCTCATCACCTGGAGTCAAGTAGATTTTGCTGCCCTAAAGCAATGTTTTCAAAACCTGATCTATTGTTTTTTTTCTCAATTATATGTGTACACATTCAGAGCTGGAGATCAAATCCAGGACATCCATGCCAGGCAAACATTTTACCAGTAATTTACATCTCCAGCCCTTGATTATTTTCTGGGGATAATCTAAAGAATCTGCGAAATCACAAATTTCCAGGCCCCTCCCTGGGAGAGTCTAGATTAGGATTCAGAAATCAATATTCCAGACAAGTATCTGCCAAACAGTCTTTTAAAAATCAAGTAGATTTAAAGATTGTTGTCACAAAGAACCCTGCCGGAAGTGTGCTGGGTGGTTCTGCTGACTTAACGTGAGGAAGGGAAGAAGGAGAAGAATGTTGTCTTGGCTATCCAGCCCCCATAGGGAAACATGAACCTAAGGAGCTCAGACACTAAGTCACACCACAAGCATTCTTACTCAGAACAGATTTTTCTGCCATCTGGCATAAGGAATATAAAGGAGTGCCATAAGTATACCTGTTTCTTTTAAGTGTATTTAAATGGCTTGTGTCTAAAGTAAACCTGCTGTTCAAGTTTTTGAGAACTAAACAGGAAGGACTAGCCTTCCCCTCCCACTAGGATAACGTATTTTTCCACCCACATGTATACTTAGAAGAGCAGCCACATTTAGAGGTCTGTAATACCTGGCAGGTGTAAAGGGAGACATGGAAGATTCTGACCTAAAACACCAGACAGGCCATGAAATCTCTGGGGCCCACATGCCTTCAAACGGTCCAGCTGCATTGACCCTACCACAATCCTTCATAGCCAATACCAGACACAGGGAATGGCAACTGCAAGAACATATGGAACAGAGGAAATATGTCTCCAAAGTATCACTACCAGCAATCAACAAAAATGGCTTGGCACAAAGAGTCCAGAAATCATATTAAAGAAAACCGACACAGTAGACTGGAATGGGAGAGAAGTACAGGGGCTTATCTGCCAACTAAAGCTTCTTATGGGCCAGTAGACTAGTCATTTGCATCTTGCTGTCATCAAGAATTTAGAATCTGGGGCTGGGAAGGTGGCTCAGTGGTAGAGCGCTCGCCTTGCATGCTCGAGGCCCTGAGTTCGATTCCTCAGCCCCATATAAGCAAAAAGAAAAAAGCTGGAAGTGGCGCTGTGGCTCAAGTGGTAGAGTGCTAGCCTTGAGCTGAAGAGCTGAGGGACAGCACCCAGGCCGAGAGTTCAGGCCCCACGACTGGACCAAAAAAAAAAAAAAAAAAGAATTTAGAATCTGACCTAGAGAGAACCACGGGTACAGTAGAACCTTACCACTTCTTGACTATAAGATTCTGGATAAGCTGAGCACCAGTGGTTCATGCCTGTAATCCTAGCTATTCAGGATGCTGAGATCTGAGGACTGTGGTTCAAAGCCTGCCTGGGTAAGAAGGTCTGTGAGACTCTTATTCCAATTAACCACTAGAAAACTCGAAGTGGCACTGTGGCTCAAGTGGTAGACTGCTAGCTGAAGAGCTCAGGGACAACACCCAGGCCCAAAGTTCAAGCCCCACAATGGACAAAAAAATACATAAAAATTCTGGATAAGCTTGTCTCAGCATCTTCACAAGTCTGCTTATATTGCTTTAAAATAGAAAACAATATGATCTATCTTGCCAAGTTTTTTTTTTGGGGGGGGG